GGCACGCACCACCATGCCCAGCTAATTTTTTGCATTTTTAGTAGAGACGGGGTTTCACCGTGTTGACCAGGATGGTCTTGATCTCTTGACCTCGTGATCCACCCACCTCGGCCTCCCAAAGTGCTGGGATTACAGGCTTGAGCCACCGCGCCCGGCCCTGATTTTTTTTTTTTTAAATCTTGAACCTTAGTTTTCTCTCCTGTCCTTGGAGATACAATATTATTTATCTTAGAAGGCTGTTGGGAAAGTGAAAGAGCTGTCTGAGAGATAATAGTAAAACACCCAGTCACCCATTCATTCATCCATTCACCCATCCACCCATCCATCCATCCATCCATGCAATCATTAGAATAACCGCTGAATGCTTTTATTTATATGTCGTGCTCATATAATGAGTACGACACCGGGGCAGAGAAGAAGAGACATGAGGACGTCCTACAAGGTGCAGAGACTTGGGAGACAGTGGGGGGCTGTCAGGTCATATTATTATCATCCTTTAAGAGACACTATGGGGCCTTCGTTTCACCCCTTGCATAGCCTTATGACCTGGGCTGTTCTTCCCCAGAAGCTGTCTGGCTCCTTTGAGAGACAATGTCTTCCTCTGGCCACAGGTTCAACCAAGTCATCCGTTGGCATCTTTAAACCAGGCCTTAAAATTGTGGATTAAGGGTAGCCTCATCCTTTAGCTATGCTATCTCCTTTAATCCCCTGCCCTCGGGGAGAATAGGTCCTGTTATTATCTTCATTTTACAGATGAGGAAATAGGTTCAGGGAGGCTAAGTGTCTTGCTCAAGGTCACCGAGCGGGTGTGTGGGATGGGTTCCCAGGCTGTTTGTTTCTTCAGCCTCTGCCATATTCGTGTTTTATGGGGGTCAAAGCAAAGAAGATTCTCCTGGACTAGAGTCAGGAGATCAGGTCCTAATTCTGACGTTCACTGGTCTCCCATCCTCAGCAACTGATGACATAAATGTTCACTGCGTCTTTGCAATCCGCACGGTATCAGCGCCTTACACCCCTGCTCCCCGCGGCATTCACCGTGATCCTGACACATCCTCGTCTTGCCTCCACTTCAGAAAGAAAGTAAGAGGTGCATGAATGTTGAGTCGTGTGATAGAGTCACAACTAGACCCAGGTCTTCTGGATTCCAGAGGCCAAGTTCTGTGCAGCTGTGTGATTTGAACAGGTTTATAAAATGCACCTAACTTTTAAAAAAATCCAAAATGTGTCCCCAAAAGGTAAAACAAATGTTCTCTTGAATCTCCCTCCTCAGAAACAAACCTGTCGCCAATTTCTTCAGGTCATTCCATGAATTTTCTATATGTGGAATGTACATATATACACGTGTGTACATAATACGTCTATAATGTGTGTATACGTAGATACGCCTAAATCCGTTTCACTATCAGAAACTATACAGTTCTTCAGCGTACCGTTTTAACTTAATGTAACTGAGAGATTCTTCCCTGTCACACACACAGATAAGAGTTTTTTCCTTGAACAATGGAATAGCATTCCATTGTAGAGACGCATCATGCCTTATTTACCCGTCTTCCCTCTGCTGAGGGACCTTGGGTTACTTCCAATGTGGGGGTCACCCCAAGCAGGGAGCCTGAGCCTTTCACCATCAATAACACTCTGTTTCTAGCTCTGCATCTAAGTTTCACACATCCGCACTAGATATTCTCATTTTCCAACGCTCCAAGCTACGCAGCGCTTTCTATCTCTTGGACATTATCCAGAGCCCACGGAGGTGCAGAGGGACCCAGGCTGGATCCCATGCCCGGCTTGACAATGCTCCAGCGACATGATCTAGGCCCAGCAAGGCTTTCTCTGCAGACCTCAATTTGCCCACAGCGAAGCAGGATGGTGCTTCCGAGCCCCACCCTCTGCGGAATTTTGGAAAGTCCCCCTGCGGTGGGTTCCCAGGAAGGCCTCTGGACAGGCAAAATGAGCCAAGCCCCTGCCTCAGGGCTCCTACGACCCCTCCCAGCACTTCTCCACCAGGCAAGCCATGCCTGAGCTTGAGAGCTTAGGGAAGCAAGTCACATGCCTCCGTGGGGCTTCCTGCCCTTCTAGGGGAGCTCTAGGGGGGGCTTTGGGCCCGTCAGAAACACACGGGGAGGTGTCCCATGGCCTCCCAAACATGACCGCAGTCCCGCCCTGTCCATTCTCCCCCCAGCCCTACTTACCATAAGGACTCTCCACTGGAGCCCCAAGGGGCGCGTTCACACTGACCATGGCCAAGTCCACCCAGCCGGAGACCCGGGGGCATGGAGGAGCAGGGGCCCGCACACAGCAGCAGCAGAGCCACCAGGAGCCAGTCCACCAGGAAGGCGGTGAGTGTGGCCAGCTGCCACCGCCCGGTTATCTTATTGATTCTTCTAATCACCCAAGGTGGGTGGATACGTTAAAGAGTAACCAGTCACTTAGGGAACCTGTGGCTGGGGACTGCTGCTGTCTCCATGACAATGGCGACCTGGCCAGATCTGAGGTCCACTCGGGCCCCAGTTCTGCACTATGGGGTTAGGGGAACTGAGAGCCAGATGTACAGGGACATCAGCCCCCCAATTTGAGGACAGGGCCGGAGCAGAAGGAGCTGGGGAGGTGAGAGTCCAACCTGGGTTGGGTTTTATGGCTCCAAACTATGGGTGTGTCACCATGCAGGAAGTAGTGGGAAAGCTGAGGGAGGGGCAGAGGAGAAAAGGAGGGTGGAGAACTGTGTTTATTGAGTGCCTACTGGATGCTGGGAGTTGCATACGGGTGTTATCACATTTAACTGAAACCTTGAGATGAAGAGACTGAAGCACAGAGAGAAATTGCAGGCCTGGAGTCTCACCGCTAGTCCATAGAGGTGTTATCTTCCTTTCATCTAACATATTTATTGAGCACCTACTATGCGCCAGGCCTCGTGCTAGACTCTGGTGATATGGAAATAAGCAAGGTAGAGATGTACCCCCAAAACCTGTGGACTAATGGAGGAGACGGACCTTAATCAGATCGTCATTCAAAGACAGTGTTACAAACTGGTGGTTGATTTGAGGGATTGGGAAACCCTGGTCTGCCTCCAGGCCAGTGGGCCAGAGTCATCCTGTCTGGCCCCTCCTCTGGTCTCCTTCCCCCTTCTAAATTCAACCTGCTGCTGAAACCTGCACGCCCTGTTTTAGCTCCCCAGCATGTTAGACACCTGCCACCTGGCTTTTTTTTTTGGAACAGCCCCATTTCTTTTGTCTCAATTTTGGATCTCACCAGCTGTTTGAGGATTCTGAAATCGAGGTCATTTATCCTGTTAGAGAGAGCTCAAATGAGAAGCAGTGAAACAAACTCTCTCAGAAAAATCAGTAACTCCAGCTCCACTATTTTCTTGCTGTATGTTTTTTGGTAAATTATTTCATCTCATTATAGCGATACCTAGCTCATAGTTTGCCCCGCCTCTAAAATAGCTAATTGATATATTCCTCCTCTTTCCCCCTAGTCTCTTTTTTCAGCTTAATCAACCACCCTAGAGGGACCTTCAGCCCCTATTGATGGACATGGGTTGTATTAAAACGTCCTTTCTTTTGTAAAACAACAGTGATAATAAATGTTAGGTTTTTTTAATTTAAAGTATTAATATTCTTGGTCGGGTGTAGTGGCTCATGCCTGTAATCTCAGCACTTTGGGAGGCAGAGGAGGGTGGATCACTTAAGGTCAGCAGTTCAAGACCAGCCTGGTCAACATGGTGAAACCCCATCTTTACTAAAAATACAGAAATTAGTTGGGCATGGTGGCGAGCATGTAATCCTAGCTAGTCGGGAGACCGAAGCAGGAGAATTGCTTAAATTCAGGAGGCAGAGGTTGAAGTGAGCTGAGATCGCACCATTGCACTCTGGCCTGGGTGACAGAGCAAGACTCGGCCTCAAAAAAAAAAAAAAAAGTATTAATATTTTTATATGGGGAGGGGGAGGTTTGCTAACCCTATGCCAATTTCCCAAAATGTTCTGGAAGTTTAAGTGGCATGTGACCCCCTGCATGAAGTGGCATCATGAGGTTATGTAACTAGGAAGGAGCTGACACAGAACTGGAATTCAGCATCATCTGACCCCAAAGTCTGTGCTATTTCAATGGGTCCCACATTGCCTTCCTGAGCACCAGGATAATGAGAATGACAACCACTGGCATTTATGAACTGTTTAGTTTGTCAGCATTCTATGCTCTTAATGTCATTGAATTGTCACAGTCAGTATTCCCATTTTACGGATGTAAAAACTGAGGCTCAAGTAGCTTCATTTGAATCTGTTCTTTTTTTTTTTTTTTGAGACAGTTTCACTCTTGTTGCCCAGGCTGGAGTGCAATGGGGCAATCTCAGCTCACTTCAACCTCTGCCTCCTGGGTTCAAGCAATTCTCCTGCCTCAGCCTCCTGAGTAGCTGGGATTACAGGCTTGCACCACCACACCCGGCTAATTTATTATTTTCAGTAGTGATGGAATGTCACCATGTTGGTCAGGATGGTCTGGAACTCCTGGTCTCATGTGATCCACCTGCCTCAGCCTCCCAAAGTGCTGGGATTACAGGCCTGAGCCACCGCACCAGGCTGAATCTGTTCTATATAACACCAAAGCTCAATGTCTTAACCCCTTTACTCCTGCCTCTCAGCTCAGAAGGAGGAGGAGACTCCGGAGATGCACGAAGGAAAAGACAATTAAACAAAAATTGTCACAGTAGGATGGGAATTCCAAGTGATCGCTTGGGTTTTCCATTTCCGATACAGCCTTCAAGAAAAGCCCATTTCAAAAAATAAAGTAGGAAAGATACAGTCCAAGAAGATACAAACTCAGTCTCTCTTTTTTTTTTTGAAACACAGACTTGCTTTGTCACCCAGGCTGGAGTGCAATGGCACGGTCTTGGTTCACCGCAACCTCCACCTCCAGGGTTCAAGCAATTCTGATGTCTCAGCCTCCTGAGAAGCTGGATTACAGGCATGCACCACCATGCTTGGCTAATTTTTGTAATTTTAGTAGAGACGGGGTTTCACCCTGTTGCCCAGACTGGTCTCGAACTCCTAGCCTCAAGTCATCTGCCCACATTGGCCTCCCAAAATGCTGGGATTACAGGCGTGAGCCACTATGCCCAAGCTCTTAGTTCTCTTATTTCACTTATTTCCAGCATTTAGAAATTGGTCCTCACCCCACACCTCATTTATCTCATCTGTAAAATGGAGCAATGGTATATTTGGTAGGGCCCAAAGCGCTGTCAGCTCCCTCCCCTGGTCTTCCAGTTGAGCTGGTTTTCCCTTCACCCATCTTCCCCCAGCCAGTTCCCCTTCTTCGTCTTTTGACTCTCTTGGGAGCAGAGAGAGGGAGGAACCAGAAAGAGCCACTGCACTGGATCTCAGAGGACTTTACTGGGGGTGGGATGGGAGGGTGTGACACACACAGGTTGAGAAAACTCATTCCTTCCAGGACAATGTAGGGAATCCAAGAGAAAGGGCCTGTTTTCCATCCCGGGTCTTCAAAGGAGGCGCTCTCCAGCCAAGCAGGGAGTGGGCCCCAGGGTAAGGTCTGAGGGAGGAGATTTTACTATCTCTGGAGACAAAAGGACTTTTGTGCGCTGTGATCGCTGGGTGGGATGGGGTGGGGAGAGGGGAAATGGCTTATTGGAATTAGAGTAAGATTGTCTGGGAGAAAAAGAATGAGAGACACAGAGACTGAAACAGAACACCAGGCAGAGATAGAACAGGCGGTAGATGAAAGAGAGAGACGGAGAGTCCCCTCAGGTCAACACTGGCTTTCACTTCCCAGTTCTGAGAGGCTAGGAAGCAGGAAGGGGCTGTCAGAGACTCTGCTCTAACCTTGGCCATGAAAGACAAGCTGTGTAGCTCTGGGTAAGTTACACCCTGCTCTGAGCCTCAGTGTACCCATCTGTAAAAAGGGGGGCCTGGACTCCATGGTGGCTCCAAGACCATGCAGTGGGAGTCGGGTGGGATGTCCACGAGCCAATTTCATTGTTTTTTAAAATCATGGGTCCGAAGTGTGCCTAATTCAGGGAGGGAATCACGAGTCTTCAAAGGCTGCCCAGAAACTGTTTGGCTGTTATTGGATGAATGAGGGCAGATTATCTTTCTTTCTTTCTTTTTTTTTTTTAAAGAGACAGAGTCTGTCTCTGTGCCTAGGCTGGAGTGCAGTGGCTCCATCTCTGCTCACCGTAACTTCCGCCCCCCAGGTTCAAGCGATTCTCCTGCCTCAGCCTCCCAAGTAGCTGGGACCTCAGAAGCGAGCCACCACCCCCGGCTAATTTTTGTATTTTTAGTAGAGATGGGGTTTCACCATGTTGGCCAGGCTGGTCTCGAACTGTTGACCTCACGTGATCCACCTGCCTCAGCCTCCCAAAGTGTTGGGTTTACAGGCGTGAGCCGCCACACTCAGTAGAATTCCTTTCATTGGACGGACAAAGTCATTTGGGTTTGACAAAGCCTGAGAGTCACCAAAATGCCAGGATTTCTGTTTGTTTGTTTGTTTGTTTTTCAATAGAGATGGGGTATTGCCATGTTTTCCAGGCTGTTCTCCAACTGCAGGACTCAAGTGATTCTCCCACCTCAGCCTCCCAACATGCTGGGATTATAGGTGTGAGCCATCATCCCCGGTCCTAAGGCACCAGTTCTATGCCTTCCAGCCTTTGTTCTCTGAGAATTGGATTAATGAAACATGCAGGGCTCTTTTCTGGAGGCCCAAGAAAAGAAAGATGCAAGTAGGAAAGAAGGAAGGCAAGGAGGTCATTTTCTTCTGACACATGTTGGACATTTAAGAAAGGGAATCTAGGAGGGAAAGTTGAATAGGGATGATTGTAACTCATATCCTTTAAAGAAAATATTATTCCTCCACCCAGTTTTTTGAAGACAGGATGTGGAGGGTCAGCTCCAGCTGGAGACGCACCAAAGCCCAGAGAAAATTCAGAAGCTCAGGAGCTTACAGCTAGTGCTCGACTTACGACCACGGTAGGGACTGCGGACCAGTCATAACACGATTTGGTCATAAGTTGAGTAGGCTATATGTACAGCTGAAATGGTGCACGCGGAGATGGTAGTGCTGCCGGAAGCTGGTCCACACTGTCGTATGCCCAGCTGGGCAACGTTTGCACTGCCAGACGCGGAGCAGTCGTGGCTAGCGATTGTGGTCATAAAGTCAAATGGTTGTAAGTTGCATAGGTCGTAAGTCGATCAATACCTGTATTGGATTTCAGCCCAGCGAAGCACATGTTGCTATTGCAGCTGCTTTGGTAACTGGGGGCACAGGTGGAGCACGGCTTTCCCATTTTTTATGGGGCCTCGCCAATCCAGTTGCCCCCGGAAGAGAAAAGGTCCCAGGGAAACAGAGGAGCGTTAGGTGAGCAACCTTCACGCAGATGTCCAGATCTCAGCGCTGCCATTCGCCAGCTCTGGGACCTGGGGCAAGTTCACATCTTCAAGCCTTGGTTTCTCTTTTTTTCCTTTCCTTTTTTGTTTTTAATTTTGTTTTTTGAGACAGGGTTTTGCTCTTACCCCCAGTTTACTGCAGCCTTTGACATCCTGGGCTCAAGCAATCCTTCCAACTCAGCCTTCTGAGTAGCTAAGACTACAAGCACGTGCCACCATGCGTGGCTAAGTTTTTAATTGTGTGCAGAGATGGGGGTCTCCCTATACTGCTCAGGCTGATCTCGAACTTATGGACCCAAGCAGTCCTCCCACCTCAGCCTCCCAAAGTGCTGAGTTTACAGGCCTGAGCCACTGTGCCCAACCTGTAAGCCTTGGTTTGTCCTGTAAAACCAAGAGACCCCCTCTCTCTCTAAGGGATTCAGCAAAGATCACATACCATACCCAAATTGTACGGTACTGAGGGCATTTAGAATGAAGAAGGGATATGGAATCTACCTTTCTTTCTTTGATTTCTCAGAGCCCACCCTCCTGCCCCAGGGACCCCTTTGCCTTGGCACAGGCACTTACTTAACGGCGTAGTTGCAGACCAGGTATGCTGCCTGATGCCAGATGCTGCCCCAGACACTGATGCTATTACAGGTGTGGATGGCGATTGGAGGATGCTCACACCATCTGATGAAGGACAGAGACAGAGGAGGCTATGAGAAGCCCTCAGTGGAACCCAGGCTCCCTGGGGTTGTGTAGCTACATTAGGTGAGGTCTTCCTGGGAGCAGCTGGGGAAGGAAACGGAGACATTCATATTGTAATATGACGTTTCTCAATCTTCTTTTTTTTTTTTTTTTTTTACTACAACCAACAGTAAGGAATAATTTTTATATTGTTACAGGTGTACAAACACACACAATTTGAACAAAAGTTTCATGAATCAGTAGCCTTATCATGTTATCATGTGTGACACTTTTTTTTCCTTCATCTTTAGTCAAGTACAGTAGTGAGAAGGGAGTTGGATCCGTAACTGACAGTAAACAGTCAAGTGAACTCACTACCTTCAGGCTAGTCAATGTATTTTCTTTTCTTTTTTTTTTT